GTGGGGGGGTGTCCAATGGCACCACAGCTAGAGGTGTGGCTGCTGGCTGTTGGCACCTGTGGTCCTGGCAGGAGCGATTCAGGACGTGCGGGTGCCTTTCTCTTTGGGTTTTTTTCTCGGTCCCCCAGAGTCACAGCCAGCCTCCCCTCTACTTTACATGCTACAAGTAAGGGCCCTGAGTAACAAAAATACTGCTCTGGGTTACACAGGGGTGAGCTATGGATGGCTTCTGCTGTGACTTTTCAGCTGCCTCCCAATATCCCTTCTCCCCCAAATGGAAGACCCCTGTTCTTAATTGGGAAGGTGGTTCCCAGAATAAAGACAGCTCTCCCAGCCGGCCTGTCCCCTAGGCTTACTGGGAGGGTCTGTTTGGACCCTATGTGGGATGTGGGACAGAGTTGGTACAACGAAGGTCTAGGTGACTCAGGCCGTCCACTGCCCCTCGACCCCCTGTTGTGGGCAGATTGGGCCCCGAAGATGTCCACCCCTTCCTCTCTGGAAATTCTGTATATATCATGTGAGATGATAGAGGGGACTCTGCAAGTGGGATGAGGTTAGGCACCTTAAGATAGGGAGGTCACCCACATGTGCTCAGTATGGATTACTGCTCAGTAACAAAAAGGAAGGCAGTCCTGATTCGTGGGTGGGCTCAGAGGCATCTCCCGGGTACTGTGCTGAGGGGGAGAGCAGCTTTGTCAGGATGACAAAGATGGAGAAGAATCCTAGAGCCCAGGGGTGAGGCATGGCAATGGGGTAGGGGGCAGTCTATGTGAGCGGGGTAGGTGGAGGAAGCTCTCTATGGGGACAGAAACGTCCTGTAACTGGGTTTGTGGTTACAGGAATCTACACAGACTGTTCCCATGTCACTGTCCTGGTTTTTACACTATAGTTACATAAGCTATAACCTTAGGAGGAAGCTGGGTGACAGGTACAAGGGACCTCTCTGTACTGTTTTTGAAAATTTCTATGAATTTATAAGTATTTCAAAATTATAAGTTGGAAAACCCCAAAAACCTTCCAAGAGCACATCCAACTCCAAAGGGACTCTTGCGTGTCACTCCACCCTCACACCTTGGTCCTGACCTCACCAGGCTTCACTCAGTTCCTCTGTGCAGTTGGGCCTGATGCCACACCAGAGCCATGCAGTTCCCTAAGCTCTGAAAGCTTGCTCCCAACACATTTAGGCATCAGGTTTCAGGGTTAAATGTTATTTCCTTTATCCTGATCCCCCACCTCCTCACTCCAGACAAAGTTGTCTTTGTTATTCTCAGGGTTCCCTGCACTTTTCTTGTATAAACTTCCTCACAACCTGTATTTATCTTATGGTGCAGTGGTTAACACTCTGGACTCTGCAGCAAGACTGCCTGTTTTTAAACTTAGCTCTGCTTTTGACAGGTGATTTAACCTTTTTCTATCTTGGTTTCCTTGTCTGTACTATGGCTGGGCACAGCGATGCCCAGTGATTCATGTCTGCTGTTACAATCCTTTCCTCTTATATCTTAGCTGGGCCTGAGACTCACTTTCACCAAGAGAACGTGGTGGAAGTGAAGCCGGGCCAGTTCAGAATTTATGCCTTAAAAAGGACCTGCAATGTCCACTGTTGTGGTCCTGGGAACCTTGAGCAGTCGTGTAAGCCAGAAGTCAGCTTCCCTGAAGGAGTGAGCCCCTGGAGAGAGGCAAACCCCACAGGCCCAGGCTCTGCTGAACACAAGCACCCATGTGGTCATTGGCAAGACCAACAGAACAACCACATAGGCGAACTCAGGCCAGACTGCACACCTGTGAACAAACAAATTGGTTTTCAGCTAAGTGTATACATCTTTGTGTATGCTTCATGATGCTTTGTTGTACAGTGATAATTCAAGCAACGGGGCTTATTATTACACCATCCTTTTAGGGCTCGTGTGTTCAATAACATTAATTATAAAGCATTTATAGTAGTGGCAGCAAAAAGTGTTACAATGCTTTCTTGTGATTTTATTTTATTTTTTGTGATTTTATTAAATGTCTTCCCTATAAGGCTGAGTTCCCCAAGTGCTATTTTCCTCACCACTGTATGCCCAGTTCCTGTCACCAAGTAGCCATTCAAGTCTTCATTTCAAGAATACATACATGCCCCAAATCATCGAGACTCACAGTTGCACCAAAGGGCCTCCTTCTAAAGCGGCACAAATGACTGGCAGAGTCGCTGAGAGAACATCCTTTAACAAGATCCATCCTTCTTGGAAGTCTGTTTGGCTTTAATTAAAAATTTTTCCCTCCTACTGGAAATGTATCATAAACATTTCTTATGACTGAACACATTTTAAAAAATAGCTTCCAAAAAAAAAAAAAAAGCTTCCGTTGTTTTTGCTAACCAGACCTCTATTGCTGGACATTTCAGGGCCTCCTGATTTTTTTTCCACGATAAAAGTAACATTGCATAAAGCACTGCTGTACATACATCTTTGTGCACATCTGATTATATCCTTATGATATGTCCCTGGAAGTGGAAATTGCGGGGTTGGAGGGTCTGAAGCATTTCTGAGGAATTTGACAGATAATGTCAAGTCATTTGCCAGAAAGGTACCAATTCACATGTCCCAACAGCCCCGACTTAGTGCTGCCCATCTCACAGCCGGCGCTGGGGCAGGGCCTGAGTTCTCTCCTCTTTGTTAATTTGATGATGGGAAGAAAAACATACTAAGTTTGTTACTGAACCATGAACCGAATCAAAGATGAAAACATATTTACACACACCCTAGCAAGGGAGTCTTTATCAGGACGGCATCTGTATTTTCTTTTCTAAAACATCTTTATTTGTGTGGGCCGGGTCTTAGTTGCCCCCATGTGGGATCTTCCTTGCAGCATGTGGGACATTTAGTTTTGTGAACTCTCAGCTGTGGCATGTGGGATCTAGTTCCCTGGCCAAGGATGGAACCCTGGCCCCTGGCATTAGTAGCTCGGTATTAGCCACTGGACAACGAGCGAAGTCCGCAATCTGGTATTATCTAAAACGATGGAAACGGAGTATCCAAATCGCTGAAGGACTGAGACACCTGCGCTCTCCCAAGATATTTCCATTGATTCGGGTAAGGAGGCCATGAAGGGACCCCACTGGTCACCTCGACCTCGTTAACCCGGACTCTGATCCCCGCGGGATGGGCCAAGCGGCCACCTGTCCCTGTGTGGGCTGCACAAGTGTCCACGGCCCCAGGGACCCACCACGTTTGACACAAAACTTCCCAGAACGAGGAAGGCCGAGTAGCACAGGCTCCCTAAAGGGCCACCCCGAATCCCAACTTCTGCCTTTGAAGGGATACACTTGGAGCTGAGGTGGGGGTGGGGGCCATCTGTGGGGTCGCTAAGTCGCACATCTGACCGCACATTGTCTTCACATCGACCCCACAGCGGGAAGGCGGGCCCGAGCGTGGTAGCCGCTTCCGAAAGCATTTGCGAAAATGCACGACCCCTCGTCTGGTGGACGCTGGTCGGAACCGCCGTGGCGCCTCACGTCAGGCACCTCCCGTCAGGCACCTCCGGCCTTGGAAAGTTCTGGAAGGCTCTCAATGGTTCCTCCAGGGCCTCGGCAGGAGGGGCCTCGAGGGCCGCGCGGACCCGACCGGCGCAGGCGGAAGGCGGAGGGGCCTGGGCCGGGAAGATGGAGGCCGCAGCCATCGCCGCCCACCTAGCGCCAACCGTCGCGGCCCGCGCCCGTCAGTCAGCCTCGCGAGCGCGCGCCCGCTCGTCATTCTGCGCCTTGCGGGGCGGAAGGGGTGGGGTCACGACGGGAACGCAAGCGTCTCACTGGTCGGCGGCGGGGGTGGGACTTGGCGCCGACGCCAGACTGGCCCCGCCCCCTGCCCGCGGGAGCGGCGGCGGCGGCGGCGGCGGCGGAGGCGGTGAGCGGGAGCGCGGGCGCGGGCGGCGGCGCCTTGGGCGGCACGGGTTCCACCGCCGTTAGACCGCCGCGGCTATCTCGCCCCCAGCACCGGGCTCGGGGACGCCGCGCTGGGGAGGCCGAGGGCCTGGTGAGCCCGGCAGGCTGCTTCCCTCGGGTCGGCCGTGGCGGCGGGGCTGGGCCTGGGGGGAGGGGCGGACCCCGAAAGAGGCTCCCCGGGGCGGTGATCCGCCCTGCCGCGGATCTCCCATTTCTGTTCATTGAACCTCTCTGCTCTCTGAACCTTTGCTCGCTGAACTCCTCTGCCTGAACCCCTTCCTCTGCGCCTTGAAGCCTCTCCTTTGCTTCTTGAGCCCCCTCCTCCCTGCCCTGAACCCAGCCTCTGCTGTCTGCACCCCCACTTCGCTCCGTGAACCTGGCTTCCTCTCTTTGAATCGCCTCCTTGCTGTGTGAATCCCAACCTCTATTGCCTGAATCCCTCTCCCCTGCTAATGGACCCACAGTCTCTTGCTGTGGTGAACCCCCCCAACTTTGCCCAAACGAACCCCCACCCTCACCCCCCAGCTCCTCTTTTCTGTCAGCAGCCAGATAAGGCTTCCTGGTTGATGTAATGAATGGCCCGCAGCTGTCCTCGTCCTTTAAGAGCAGTCGTTTTCCTCCGATTTTATTTTTTTTGCGCTGGGGTCAATTGTTAGCTCCCCAAACACGGGAGGGTTGTAAGCTTTGACTGTTTAAAACGCCTCTCGTGCCGAGGTCAGAAGCAGGCCCTCAGCACGGGGACGATTTATTCAGGAGCCTTTTAAAAATAATCTAGGCAGAACCTTTGGGAGGGAATTTAGCTGAATTTTATTTGTAAAAATAATCCAGGCGCCTCCCCAGGAATCAGGGCCAGTCATTTCTTTTTGGTACGGAGCCCCTCGGTACAGGATGATGGAATTGAACCATCTACTTGAGGATCAGCCCTGCTCACCTTCGCCCTTAGGGGTTGTGGCTGTGTCGAAGGGGGAAGCAAATGATGTTATAAACCACCGTGCAAATTTTGTTGCAGGGCACATCGCGTCAGACCTTCAAGTGCTTTGTTTGTGCCAAATCATTACCACTTGCCACATGAGTCTAAATCATGACGGATGCCAAGTATGTCCTCTGCAGATGGAAAAAGCGATTATGGCCCGCAAAGGTGACAGCCATTATTCTGTAATTTCAGAAATTAGAAATGACTTTCGGGTGACAAGTAAAATCTTTATCAGGAGCTACCTAGGAGTCACTTCAGCAAAATAATTGAGTTTGAACAGTTGGTGCTCAGATCTGTTGGCACTGGTCCTTGCTCCTGGTCTAATGGGGTTTTGGTCGAGTGCTTACAAGGTTATACTTCCGGAAGTGTCTTTTTCTTCTTTTTTTCCCTCATGCTTTAAAAAAAAAGAATTTTAGCAGTGTCAGCTATAAAAAGGCATGTAAGGCTGTAACTCAAGGAAATTTTTGGCAAGCAGCCCTGATAGTAAATAACAGGACTGTCTCGGGGACGCTTTCCAGCAGTGTGGTGGGAAGAGGGCCAGATCTTGAGGCAAGACCCTGCTTCTGGTCTCGGTCTGCTGCTGTCCTTCGTGCCTCAGTTTCCCTGTATCTGCAGTCCTATCTTATCTTCTTTAAAAATCACCCACTGCATTTATGTTTATATGTCACTACTGCTTGCCAGGGTGAGCTGTGTTTTGTGGCTTGTAACAAGGTTGTGTGTTTTTTTTTTTTTTTAACATAGGTCCTGGCCGGAACTGAAAAGTCAGCTAAAAATAAGAGGAAAAAGGGATTTTTTCTAAACGTTCAGATACTCTCCCTAGACAAAAAGTTAAGTGTTGTGTTTTTGTAGTCCCCCTGCATGGGATTTGTGATACCACCCCCTCCCCAAAAAAGTGAAGTCTGCTCTTAAGTCTTCTCACCTCTTTGCTTATCAATGTGGTCACAGTAACCCGAAGAGGACAACAACCAATTTTATGTACGTTTGGAAATTGAAGAATCTCTATGTGGTATTGATGTCCAGGGAGATCAGTACAAAAATGGGATGGGTGTAAATTATATGCTGGTAGACTCTCGCTGGGGCTCAGGTAGGCTTGTTTCCTTCCTATAGATACGTTTGTGTGCCTTTCTTTCAGAAACGTGTGACAGCCCCCTGCGTTCTGGAATATTTGATGTTTGAGCCTGTGCTTGTAATAAGAAAGTGTTGTTTAGCATTCAGAAGGCAGATGCATGGGGGGCGCAGGGTAGCACGTTGCATCCCATGGTGGAAGGACACAGATGACTGGGGAAGATTAAAATGGCCCAGGTTGTGCGTTTCTGATGGGCGAATTCCCGATTCTAACTAGAGAGTGAAACAGGGTCAGCCCCTGCTCCTGCGTCGCCGGGTCCTCATCCTTCTTTCTTCAGAGCCGATCCTAAGCCTGCTTAGTCCGCAGCTCACACTTTCCCTGAGGCTGGGAAAGTAATTGAATACTTGAATTTAAAAGGGAAGCGCATCCTTTTAAACTAAAACACACCTGCTGGGCTGTAAACAGCTTTTAGTGACATTATCATCCACTCTGGAAATCTAACAAAGGAGTTATTTGTGCAGTTGAAAGTGGGACGTACCTCATAAAAGTCACAATTTGAATTCATTTTTACTCTTAAATCCAGCCAGCCCTTTTCTGTCTTAAAAGGGGAAAGGGAGAAAAAAAAAAGCTACATTCACAAGGGTCCTCGCTGCCTCTAACCTCAGGCGCTTGAATTCCTGGTTGGCAGTGACTCCTGGTTTGAGTGGAAGGGTGCAAAAGCAGAAAACGAATCTGATTCTTTTGTCGTCTAAAGCAAAACACGTTTGCGAAGGTCTCGGTGGCATTGCTGGTGGCGCATAACAGGCCTCCCTGTCCCCGCAGGATTAAGGTGAAGAGCGCGGAAGCCAAGGTCCTGAGAAAGGTGCACATCGAAGACATCGCCTCTTCGTTAGGTGAGAGCGTGTTTTTCCGTCCCAGTGAGGTCTGGCAAGAGCACGGGGCATTCTGGGAGAAAACAGACTTGGCCTTCTGGATGCAGAGCGACCCCATTCCCCGTCTCTCCCCTTCCTGCAAGGAAATGTGATTTCCCTGAACTAGAGGAGCTGTGTCTGTCTGCTGTCTCTAACCTTCTAGAATCTGCCCCTCGAGCCTGTCCTGTCCTTGACCCCCCCCCCCCCCCCGATGGCCAGTGACGGCAGCATCAGGACCCGCTGGCTCCGTCCACGGCCTGCAGTACACTCAGAAGGGGTGTGCCTCCCCCAAGAAAGGGCAAGAGGCTTTTCCTCTTTCTGTATGGTTTTTTTTCTTCCCCCACTAATCTGTAGTAAGACTGTAAAAGGGTTCTGTTGCTGGTCTGGCCTCCGCCCAAGGGTTAAGAAGCAGTTGGGTGTATATTTACATATTTGGGTATATTTCTATCACCCAAACCCAGGAGAGAAAAAAAGTGTGTCACTGCCACCAGCCTTTTGGCCATTGGTGTCTGCAGGGCTATGGGGGCAAGGGCAGGGCGAGGCAGGCTGGAAGTGGAGCCCTGACTCCCATCTCTTCGAGGGTCAGTGTCATAGGTGAGACAGACCCGGCTGAAGTCTGGCTGAGCTGAACCCCTGGTGCACTGCCCCCTCCCAGACCCACTGGGTGCCCACCTAAGAGCTTATTCCACGTGCAGAGAATTTTCTGTCTTGTGAAAAGATTGCCCAGGATCTCCCAGCAGCGACTGGGAAATAAGGTCTGTTTTCCTGCGTTTTCAGGGAATGGCTTTGGCTCAGAGCAGGGTGCCCAGCTCAGGCGGCATCCACCACCACCTCTCGGCCTCCCTGATTGTTTGTGCAAATTGTGTTGGGGGGCTGGTGTTTGTGGGCGCTTTTAATATTAAACAGGGCAGAGTCCTGTGCTGAAGGAGTTGTTATTTATGCCTGCTGAGTTCTGATATTGTGTCCGTCATCTTGTTCAAATAAAGGGCGCCAGAGCCGCGCATGGGAATGAATGAATAAACTGTGGTGGTGGGGAGGTCAGGCTGGAATCTCTGCACCTGCGATGCCGTCCATTGGCTTTGAAATGCCCTTGCAGGGAAGTGTGGACAATTTGCTGGCCCACAAAGAGGCTTTTAGGCAGCTGTTCTTACCCACCCCCACCCCTGCCACCCCCACCCGAGAATACCCTGCCAGCAGTGTCCTTTTTTTATTGACCCTGATTGAATTGAAATTGTAAGGCTGGGAGAGGATTTGAGAAATATTTGAATACATTTTGTGGGTGGTATTGTTTTGTAATCTGGAGGAGTATACCAGCCCAGGCAGGGCAGGCTCAGTCAGCATGCTTTCTGGGGAAAGGAAGCCTTGCAGCCCTGAACCAGCAGTTGTGGTTGGATGCTCAAGTCCCTATTCTGGAGAAGATGTCGGTGAGAAGCATCAGCCCCTCTTCAGGTGTGAGGACCCGCTTTGGCGACACACCAGAGCTGGCAGGGTGTTGCCGGGCACTGGATCCCGGGACCAACTCATCACCAGGCTTTGTTCCTCTTCCTCTGTCCCACAGCCTCACAGGACGGGGCTCCCGCTGCGCCCCTGGAGGAGCTGGCCTACCGGCGGTCACTCCGCGTGGCTCTGGATGTCTTGAACGAAAGACAGGGGAGCTATTCCAGGGAAGGAACGACTCCTCGGCCTCCGAGAGTGAAGTCCGTGGAACCAGCCCCCTGGCCCCCCAAGCCTAGCCTTTCCCCATCATTCCTCGAAGACACGGTGGGCAGTCCGGGGCCCACAAGGAGGGAACGTGTGTCCCAGAGGCCATCCGGCCTGCCAGCTGGTGAGGAGCATCTGGAGTGCAGAGTGAACCCCAAGGAGGTGCTCAGGAGAAGCGGAGGCCTGGATGCCCCGGCTGTGTGTTCAGCCAGCGGTGGCGCTCAGGACAGGGGGGCATCCAGAAAACAGCGGGCAGATTGGATGACGCCCCCCAGTAAACAGGGGAGGAACCCGGCACAGGGACCCTGCTCAGGTCAGAGAGCGGCTCCATCCTCAGAGGGAGCCAGCCAGGAAGATGGTGAGACAGGCGCCGGCCTGGCAGCCCTGTGCTCGCCTCCTGGAGGCAGGGACCCGAGTCCACAGGATGGCTGTCCCGCCGAGCGCCTGGGCCTGGATGGTGGCCAGAAGCCGAGGGCTCACATGGGTCCCCACAGCCCTGCTCAGCTTGGCCCCGCAGAGGAGGCGGCAGACACCCGGCCACTGGAGGAAGGTAAAGGCCCTGAGAGGGTGAGTTGGGAGAGGTTGGCAGTGGGTTCTCCTTTGGCCGATCCAGAGCCAGGCCCCAGATCTTAATGAGATCATTACCAGAACAAATCCTGAGTAGAAGTTTCCTGGAGCCTCTCTCTCTGTCTCTTCACCACACTCTAAGCACTTCAGCTGCCTCCCACACTTGTGTTTTTATTTTTGTTTGGCGGCGGAGGGACTGGAGGGGCATACGGTGGCGGCGGTACTGCCGTGTCTGCTCCCGGAGGATTAACTCCTTTCTCCTCCCATTGCAGAAGCCCTAGTGCATTCCCGTTAAACTGGCAGGAATCTCAGAAGTGATTAACTCACTTAAAAGGCCCCTGACTTTTTCAGGATTCCCGCGTGCATGTGTTTTTGTGTGGCTGCAGCCATGCGCTATGGTTTTCTCTGTTCAGATGCCTTAGCATCCCACTTAGTTTTGAAATGCTAATTTGGAGATCTTCATTTCTGCATGGCTAGGTACCGCGCTCTGCCTGCCCACACTCTCTCCGGGTGTCTGCCTTTCTTCTTTCCCTTTCAAGGGCCCCCCTCCCCAGCAGTGGCAGTGAAGCAGGGACTACTACTTTGAATGGGGCCAGCCCCAGAGCCGCATCCTCCCCATGTGGCCGAGTGCACCCTAGGGAGGGACAGGCCTCTGGTTCGTTCATCTGCCCTCTGTGCACTTGCAGCCACTCCTGCCCTGTCTCCTCTATTGAACATGCCTTCACCAAGCGAGGCTGAGGGCAAGTCCTCTTTGCAGTGGCTTGGCTCTCTGAGCTGATGTTCAGGGATCAGGGCGGGTGTTCCCTGGGTCAGTCCCCAGTACTGTGACTGGTAAGGTCTGATCTATCCTTGTTGGTAGCCCGGCCATTGTCTGAAGAGTTTATGGAGCCGAGCACTGTGAATTCTCTCCTGGAGGAGGACGAGGAGGACGAGGAGCCCCCGAGAATCCTGCTGTATCACGGTGAGTGACTGGCACCTTCCTGGGGTGAGGTCCCTGACGTCCCCGTGTCCTGGGGAAGGTCTCTTCGCTGTTTGGCACGCAGACCTCACAGAGAGGGAGCCCTGGCTCTCATCTCTCAAGGACAAACACGTACGGGGGTTGGGGGAGGCTCCCAGGACGCCATTCTGAGGGAATGGCGGAGGGCGGCCAAGTGAACAGATGGGCTCTGTCGCCACCGTTGGGTGTGGCCTGGCCCTGCCTCTCAGCCCTCCAAAACAGTGTCCCTACAGCAGAGTGGGCACCCCCCAGGTGTACACAGGACACCCGCCCCAGCGCTGAGCAGTGCACAGGTCAGCTGCCCTGTCCTCACGGGCAGGAGTCGGACACAGGCCCAAGCATCCAAGCCAACCATGGGACGGTTAGTTGCCTTGAACGAAACAGTTGAGGACTGGCTTCAGTTTTCCACTTACCCATTAACCATTCATCTTAACGTAGTCTAGTTTTGTTTTGTTTTTTAATTTTTTTAGCCTGAGATATTTGTACAGAGACTGTGGCCGGAGCTGCACGGGGTGGTCTGGGGGCCCTTCCTGCCTGGCTGGAAGGTTGACCTGCTTTCTCGGGTATTTCCCACGGGCTCTTCCGATTGTTCTCATGGTGGCTGGTTATCCTTTAGTGAGAGGGACAGTTGCGGGGGGAAGGGGTCACTCACCAAGCCCTACCCCGCTGTTGGGGGTCTGGATGCATCCAGTTTGGGGGCCTGCAGTGTTTGGGCTCTCTGGGCATCACTGGGGTCAGTTCCTGCGGGCACAAAAAGGGGCACCATACCTTCCTGCAGAGGGCGTGTCTGTCTGCCTGGGGGTCATTAAGCCCCCAGAGTCCCTAGTCAGCTCCTTTCTCCTGCTTTTGTCTTCCATTGGGTTTTGGTTGCTGGTGTTTGGGTTGACTGCACCTGTGACTGTTGTCCTGGGTGGCCCTGTGCTCCTCCCGAGGGTGACCAGCTCTCCACTTGTGCTGCAGGCGTCTCCCCTTCCTCCATCATGGCCCCCTGTCCCTCAAAGCTCTTCCTATTGTCATATGCTGCAGCTCAGCCATGAGCCTCACTGTGGGGTCTGCAAGCAGCCTCTGTTCCCTGCTTGCTTTTGTTACCTGGTTTTTTAACATTGAGTTATTTACTTGTTCTGGGTTTGTTTTTTTTTTGGTTGAGGATATAGTTAAATTTTGTTTAGAAATCATTTGTAGTTACCTTATGATTATTTAAATAGTTCTTCTCCCCCCCCACTTTTTAAAGCCCCCCAGTTTCTCAGATGAGCTTCTCAGAAATTTACTCCCCATGTGGGGTCCTCACTGTGTGCCATGGTCTCCTTTCTGTTTATGTGCTATGTTTAAAAAGTGCTTTGCCCTGGAGTAATCTGAGACTCAGAAAAGTGGCAGAGGTGGCATTGCGCCCCTGCTTGTACACGCGTGGTCCCCACCAGGAAATCCATGTGCACCCCAGCTGCTGGTGGCCAGCACTAGGTTCCAGGGTTAGGAGTACACCCTGCCCTCCTGACTCTTGGGTCTGTCACAGGAACCATTTAACACTGGGCTTGAGCAGCATCTCTGTGGTTTTGTTTTCTCAAGCAGCTTTGTCTGGTGTTCGATATGGATCTAACATGTCTCTCTTTTGTTTTTCTCTTTCCTTTAAATTTTAGAACCACGTTCATTTGAAGTAGGGATGCTAGTCTGGCATAAATACCAAAAATACCCCTTCTGGCCAGCCGTGGTAAGAACACCTTTCTGCCTCCCGCTCGGTCAGTTGGTTCCCTAGCATGCAGCCCAGGTTGCCCCATTCTAGACACTGGGCCCGGACAGGGTTTTCACTGTTTTTGCTGGTGAAACGGTGGGTCCGTGAGCAACAGTGTAGAGACGAGTTCATCTAAGCAAGGGGCCTCAGCCTTCCGGTGCTGCTGAGAATGAACCTTGTAGGTCAGGTTTTCACCAGGCAGCTTTAGAAAGTCTGGTTCTGAAAAAATGCCCACTATTTGCTCATTTTAAATATCGTACATTTGAGTTTTTCAGTTTGTAAGTTAAGAGTAGGGGTCCACCACATGTGTAATTGCAAGTGTTTGAGGTTCTGGCTGTACCCTCAGTGGGATGAACACCCTTAAACATGGTAGTACCTCCTCCAAGTGCCCGAAGGGTGCTCACAGTGGGTCAGGTGGAGAATTTTTGAGCCAGGGGCACCACCCACCTGCCTTTGCCCCTTCTATTTCCGCCTGAATTTATCCTGTGTCCTCTTCCAGCAGGGACAGGATTCTCAAGGTTCTAGCTATAGGTCTTTAATTTGGGAAAGAGGCAGTGAATTGGAAGGTCTCTGCCCTGTGGAGCAGCTTTCTCTGCTGCGGTGAGTCTCGGCTCACGCAGTCAGCATGGCCTCCAGGCACGTGACTGGAGGTCTTGAGAAGGACAAGATTAAACCTGCGTGGTGTCTGTGGAAAAAGCTTGGCCGCGCAGGTGAACCTGGCTCCCCTGCAGCTCCTTGGCAGTTGGGGCCTGACCATCGGGGCCACTCGCCTCCCTCCAGTGCTTGCTTGTCAGAGGCGCCGTGTCCCCCTGTGGTTGGCAGCCTTATCCATGCACCTCCCTGTTTACCAGTTCCCGGGGGAGCTTTTGGTTAACCAGGGCCAGCACTGTAAATGCCCAGTGAGTACAGGAAATGGGGTAGTCAGGCCAGCAACCCCCCGGCTGTGCACCTCCCCACGCTCACTTTGTTTGTCCCCCAGAATGAGGAGGAATGCGCCCTGAGCCTGAAGAGACTCAGCGGGAGGAAGGGCGCTCACAGCAGCTCTGGTTCCTCTTTTATAAAACTGACCAGAACCCACCCCACCCGCTTCTGCTCAGCTGTTACAGTGCTGGGAGCCGGGTAGCGCTTGCTGAGCATTTCCTGGTGTCAGCTCTGCCCTGGTCACCCCGGGCCAGCCACCTTTCTTGTCACACACTCGACAAGGTGCCAGCATGGAAGTGTTGAAAATGCAAACACAGCCTCCTGGGTCCTGGGTGCTGGACACCTTGTGTTCTTGGATCTGCCTACAGGTCAAGAGCGTCAGGCGGAGAGATAAGAAGGCGAGTGTGCTCTTCATTGAAGGGAACATGAATCCTAGAGGAAGAGGGTAAAGCACCGTTATCTGCTCTGCCCAGTGCTCCAGGTGGGGGGGCCCTGAGGTTGACCCCCGATGGAGCACCCCCACAAAGACTGTATTGAGACACCTGGCCAGATAGTCGGGTTTTCCAGACTGCTTGTTGGCTTCCAGAATCAGCCCTGCCGGACGGCCATGGGCCCCCACAAACCACAGCACAGTTCGCTCCCTGAAGGCCTGTGAGCAACACCCTGTCGGGTGACCATTCGGTAACCCCCACAGACCTTTATCGTGGGACAGAAGCACCGTTTGCCCAGAGCTGATCTTGCAAACACCCCACTGCCAAGGAGCGGGGGAGCCTAGGGACCCCTGGAGGTACACCTGGGCCCAGGCCTGGCTCCCTGGGGCCTCCTCCCCCATGAGTGGGGCTCTCCCAGAGGAGGGGGGCTTTGGGGTCATGAGATGGCACCAGTCCCATTAACCTCTGCTCTCTGCTCCTAGTATCTCTGTGATGCTCCGACGACTGAAGCACTTTGACTGCAAAGAGAAACAGGCACTTTTGGTGAGTGGGTGGTTCCTTGTGCTGCTCTGAGCTGCTGGCTTGGTGGTTGGTAACCCTGTCCCCATGTGTACCTTCAGACAGTGGCCATCCTGGGAGTGGCATTCGGCCCCGGCTGCTCTGCTGGAGGTCATCACCCTAAAGTCTCAGCCTCCAGCGAGGCTGCCCACCATTCCCCCTGACCCCGTGCAGGGTTGCTGTTTGGTGGTGGACAGGGTGCCCCCTGGAGGGGAGGTGGTAGGGCTCAGGCTGAGGCCGAGGACCATGGCTGCTGCCCCCAGATGCGGCCGTGATTCTGTGCACCGTGCTCCTCAGGGAGGCCTCCCCATGGCCCTGTGACCAGCCCGCCTGCGCCCCGGGAGCTGGTGCAGGCAGAGCACTGTGTCTGATTTGAGATAGTGCTTTGTGTCAGCTCCACCTTGATGCCAGGATCTGCTTGGCCCCGTCAGCGGGTTCAGGTTCTGTATGGGATGAGGCTTCCCTGCTTAGGAAGCAGTGTCTTGGCCATGGTCAGTGAGCTAGGGCCTGGGGTGTGTGGGGGCTGTTTGGAAGGTCGGCACCTATGAGGAACCCATCCTTGGGCTCTCAGGAGCAATGGTGGGGGGCAGGAGGAGAGCAGGAATTGAGGTTGAGATCATGTGCATTAAATACTGGGGGGATGCCTGGGTTTGCAAAGATGGCATGTGGTCCATAAATGACCTGGTGTTTGGGCATCCCTCGGCATTCTCCTGTTTCCTGGAAACGGGCTATGGGAGTGGCTGCCTGTCCTGGGGCCAGACCCCAGTTGTCCCAAGTGCCTGTCAGCGAGCCTGGCCACAACCCAAGCACTCTCTTCACCCCAAGCTGCCTGCCTGCTCCCATCAGACACCTGTGGGTCTTGGGCTGGTCTCGCTGGTCCTCCCAGCTCAGGGGTCTCCCACCCTGGGGGCAGCACCCTTCTCCCACCAACATTCTGGGAGGAGTGTGTGTTTGGAGTTGCAGGCGCAGAGGCTTCTTCTGTGGGCTTGGTCTCACGCACCCTATGTCCCCTCTGTCTGCTGGCCCATCGGCTGTAGTGGGGTGGGGTCTCTCCGTTCCTGTTCTCAGGTCTGTGTTTCTCTCTTGGCCCTGAGGGCTCGGCCCACAAGTGGCCATTTTCTGAGCAGCCCTGGCCTCAGACGTGCCTAGGGAGCCCCGCTCAGGTTCCTTCCTGGCCAAGGGACTGAGGACACAGGACGAGTGAGGCACTGCCTGTGGCCTCCTGCTGACAACTGCTGTCCGGGTCTCATTGCAGGATGAGGCAAAGGAGGACTTCGCCCAGGCCATCGGCTGGTGTGTCTCCCTCATCACTGACTACAGGGTCCGGCTCGGTGCGTGGGGCTGGGGCAGTGGTGGAGGCTTCCCTTCATGCCCCCAGGGTGAGCACAGCCTGGCCCTCAGGTGGGCCTCTCCTCTCCAAGAAGCCTAGCTAAGGTCCATCCTGGGTCCAAACAGGACAGTTGCCTTTGCATGTCGCTGGTTTCCATCCACAGGGGCTCATTGCCCAGGGCGGGGTAGGAGTGCTCTGCCTGGTCCTGCTCGCAGTCAAGGTATACACCTGGCAGACAACCTGGTGCCGTCAGTGCTGTGTAACGGGCTCCCCTCCTGCCTTTGCAGGCTGTGGCTCCTTCGCTGGCTCTTTCCTGGAATACTACGCAGCTGACATAAGTAAGTCTGCCAACTCCGCCAAAGCAGGACTTGCTTCCTGGCCCTCGAGAAGTGGCAGTTTCTCTGTCTGATCTCTGGACAGGGTGTGCAATGGGCAGCGCATCTTGAGCCTGAGGCTGACTGTGCAGCCATCCCCGGGTTTCCAGGCCCCACAGATCCCCCTGCTGAGGGGCCCCCATCTGTTGTCTGTACTCGCGGCCACTCACCAAGTGTGCAGAGCTGGGGCATCTGGGTGGCTCCTCTCCTCTACCTCGTCCTGGGCATTTTCAGTGGCACTGGTCCTTATGGAGCAGTGCAGATGAGCTGATGCTGATTCCGTGGGATGGGCAGTTGGGGGCAGAGCTGGGAAGGGCGGCAAGGGTCCTGTGGGGGTTCCTGCCCATGTGGGGTGTCCTGGCCCTTGCCCACGGGGCTACTGAGGGCGCCCAGTTAGGGGAGGCTGTGCCCTTCCTTCGCAGGCTCACCTGTCCGCAAGTCCATCCAGCAGGACGTCCAGGGGACGAGGTTCCCCCAACTGAGCGGGGGAGACCCCGAGGAGCCTGTGGCTGGGAGCCCACAGGGCAGGCGTCCAGCCTGCAGGAAGGTGTTGCCCGACCGCTCGCGGGCCGCCCGGGACCGGGCCAACCAGAAGCTGGTAGAGTACATTGTGAAGGCGCGGGGCGCTGAGAGCCACCTGCGGGCCATCCTGAGGAACAGGAAGCCATCCCGGTGGCTGAAGACCTTCTTGAGCTCTGGCCAGTACATGACCTGCGTGGAAACCTACCTGGAGGACGAGGAGCAGTTGGACCTGGTGGTCAAGTACCTGCAGGGCGTGTACAAGCAGGCAGGGTGCCAGCTGCTGGCACGCGGGCACGGAGACGGCATCCGCTTCATCCTGGACGTGCTACTGCCTGAGGTGAGTGGCCAGCGGACGCCCTGCACGCGGGGTGTGTATGTGGGGAAAGTCTCCCAGGGCGTGCAGGAGGGTGGAGGGGCCTGGTGTCGTTCTCCAGGAATCTTCCCTGAACCTGGTGCCACCTGAGCCTCAGTTCAGAGAGAGCACTGCCATATGGGAACAGAACATGTGGGACTGTATCAGAAGGCTCAGGAACACTGAGCTTTATAACTGCAGAGAATTTAGAGTGTGTTAAAAAATAAAGCAGCGCTGTGAACCCTCATGTGTCCATTCCCATCTGCAGCAGTGGCCTTGCTCCATATGCTCCTCCAGCCCCTTCTGGACATACTTTATTTTTTTTTTGGACATACTTTAATGTGAATGTAGGAAGGGTGACTGTGCCCCCAGGGGCACTGAGGGCATCTCAGGTTGTCACAAGTCGGGTGCTCCTGGCACGGAACAAGACGCTGCTCCACTCCCTACAGCCCAGGACAGCCCCATGTGAGCCATGCCCAGGTGAGGGACTCTGGTTGGAACAAGAAGGACTTTCTAAGAATTTTGAAGTAATTGCAATACTCTTTTACCTGGAGGAACTAACAGTGATCCTGTGATTCCAGACATCTAATGTGTATTCAATTTACCACTTTGCGTTTTTTTGTTTGTCTCAGTTAACTCAGACTTTTACAGTTGCTCTTTGTTTGGCAGCCTGCCTTTTTTGGGAGCTGGGGGAGGGCACTGCTTATCTTGCTTGTGGTATCTTAGTTCCTGACCAGGGATTGAACCTGGGCCTTGGCATTGAGAGCACTGAATCCTAACCACTTGGCGCCAGGGACATCCTGGGTCCTGCTTTTCTTTGCTTTGAGTGCCATGAACTCTCATCTTGTCGATTTCATTTGGGAGCTTCACTGGGAGCAGAGATTTTGCAGATGGTGTACACGTGTGTGAGCCCGGCGCTGGGAGAGCCCAGCTCTGGGAGGGCCCTGGCGACTGGACTGTCTACCTTTGTGGTCTTCTCCAAGCCTGCTGTGAGTGGCCATGCACGGCCCAAGCCTGACCTGCACTGCCTTTTTGCAGGCCATCATCTGCGCGATCTCAGCGGTAGATGCGGTGGACTACAAGACGGCCGAGGAGAAGTACATCCGAGGACCGGCGCTGAGCTCCCGGTAGGTGGGCCACGCACTGTGTCCCAAGGGCTCTGTCTCTGCCTGCGGGTGGCTGGGCCTTGGGGCCGCTGGTCCGAGTGGGCAGAGCTGCCCCGCCTCGTCCGAACTCATCCTCAGTGCTGACGTCCACCTCCCCCTTGTCCTCCCCCGTCACCTCGCTACCATGGCTGTTTGAGGAAACCGTGAGATTAAGCGGCAGCTGCCGCCTGCCGTCCCTTGCTGGCAGGAAGAATGCAGTGATCAAGATGTTCCTCTACATCCATGGTGAGCCGCCCTGGACTGGCCTCCCAGCCCCTAATCCCGGCTCTGGGCTGGCTGCCAGGCTGGCTGGGAGCAGGCCGGCCGCGTGGCCCTGACAGGCTGAAGACTCAACTAGGGTCTTGGGCCAGGGCTGAGCAGGCGCTCACAGTGGAGTCTGTCCCCGGTCTCAGCGATCAGCTGGCCACCCCTGTAACCGCATTGAGAGAAGGTGCTCCCGGAGACTGAGATCCAAGTGGCCCCTCCCTAGCCAGCGCCTGCCTCATGCTCGGGCACCAGTCACAGGGCATCCTGTCTCTACAACCCAAGCAACTGCACATGTCCCGGGGCCTGGGGGGATGCGGGCTGCACCAGTCACTCCCTGCTGCTTCAGGGACATGGTCCAAGCAGCTGAGCCTGGGCAGTCAAGGTTCCATTGGGCTGGGTTTTAGTTGTCCATCCCAATGCCCCCACCTCTCCCGTCTTCTCACACCATGATTGCGTTTAGGTTCTTATGCACAGGCCATTGAACCTCGACACAGACAAGGTCAGGTCTCCTTGTGGGGTCCTTAGGCTGCTGTGTCACATTTCCCTCAAGGGCATCCCCCTCAGGGTCACATTTCTTGTTTAGCCTGAGAGGAGTGGCCAGTCAACTACCTGATAATGTAATTTTTTTAATAGATAGTCATTTAAAGATGACTTGATACTTCATCTTCTTTTCTTTGTAGTTTATTTTTTTTCCATTGTGGTGAAATATACATAGTATTCACCACTTTCCCTACCTTTAAGCATACATCCTAGTAGCATTAAGCTCATTCACATTGTCGTGTAGCATCCACGCCATCTCCAGGACACTCTCCCAAACTGAAACCGTGTCCCCACTAAACACTCACTTGTTTAAGGGATCATGGGGGTGGTTCGTTGTTTTTTTTGTTTGTTTGTTTTTGGGTTGTTGGTTTTAACAGACCTGTAGTTGATTTACAATATTAAGTTATTTTCAGGGAAACAGCAATTCAGTTATATATGTATGTTTGTGTGTATATCTTTTCTTCTTTCAGGTTCTTTTCACGACAGTTTGTTAGAAGATACTGAGTGTAGTTCCCTGTGCTTTATAGTTAATCTTTGACGTTTATTTTATACATAGCACTCTGCATCTGTTAATCTTTAACTCCAATTGATCCTTTCCCCAACCCTTCCCCTGTGATAAGCATAAGTTTGTTGTCTATGTCTGTGAACTGTGTTTTGTAAAGAAGTTCTTTTGTGTCATATTTTAGATTCCACACATAAAGTGATATCACACAGTATTTGTCTTTCTCCATCCGATTTACTTCATTTAGCATGGAAATTTCCCTGGTGGTTGGGACACCACACTCTCTTTGCTGGGATCAGGTTCCATCTGTAGCTGGCAACTAAGATCTGGCACAGCATGCTGTGTGGCAAAAAAAACCCCAAAAACTACAAATATTTCACTTAGTATAATAATCTCTAGTTGCGCCCATGTTGCTACAAATGACACTGTTTTATTCTTTTTCATGGCTGAGTAGTATTCCATTGTGTATGTGTACACATCTTTATCCGGTCATCTGTTGATGGACATTTAAGTTGCTTTCACATGTTAGCTGCTGTCAGTAGTGCTGTTGTGAACATTGGAGTGCATTTATCTTTTCAAAGTATAGTTTTATCTGGATATTTGTCCAAGAGTGGGATTGCTGGATCATACGGCAACTTGGATAATTTTGAGGGGAGCCTCCATCCTGTTCTCCACAGTGGCTGCACCAATTTATATTCCCACAAACAGTGGAGGGTTCCCTTTTCTCCACACTGTCTCCAGCATCTGTTATTTGTAGACTTTTTAACAGTGGCCATTCTGACCAGTGTGAAGTGAGACCTCATTTAGTTTTGATTTGCATTTCTCTAATAATGAGTGATGTGAGCATCTTGTCATCTGCCTCTTGGCCATCTGTCTTCTTTGGAGAAATGTCTGTATAAGTCCTCTCCATTTTTCAATTGGGTCATTTGTCTTCTGGTTATGAAGTGGTATGGGTTGTTTGTATGTTGTTTGGTTATGGAGTGGTATGACCTGTTTGTATATTTTGGAGATGAAGCCCTTGGCAGTCACATCATGTACAAATATTTTCTCCCAGTCTGTAAGCTGATGGTTTCCTTTGCCATGCAAAAGCCTGTACGTTTGATTAGGTCCCATTTGTTTATTTTCTGCTTTTATTTATGTTGCCTTGGGAGACTGTTGACGTTTATTAAAACACAATTACTGAGTAAAATGAAGTGATCTTTTGTTTTTGCAGGGAAAAAGAAATATTTGATAACCAGCTCCTAGAAGAACGGAATCGGCGATGCTGAAGCAGGTGGTGGCAGTGCTGCATGCCTGCGCTCTGGGGGCCAGGCCGGCCGTTTGCCTCCTCCTGTCTGCGGGTTCTATTTTCCTGGCTCTTGTGGAAGGTATACTTCCCAACAGGCTTTTAAAGAACAGAAATGGATTATTATTATTATTTTTTAAACTTCACGTCATTACCTGTGACTGTACCGCGTAGTTTTATAGAAGGTGCACATTTGTTTTTTATGTTAAAAAACATTGTATCTGACATTCAACAGGAGTTTTAAAGACATACGAGTGTGCTGCTCCCGGCACGTCAGTGTGTTTCTCCGTTTGTTTCCCTCCTCTGTGCAGTTCCTCTCACACTGGCTCCTGAGTTTGCTGTGCCTCTGTTCTGTGTTTTTGAGAAAACCCAGTGTTTGTGAGAGGCAGACCAGAGACCTGCTGCTGTCTGCGCTCTCCCCTCTGCTGGCACTCGGGCAGGGGAGAGGCAGACCTTGAACCTCTCTGGCCACTTTCTCCTCGGTCCCTCTGCGGGTTTCTCCACCCAGCCCACTTCTGGGCCAGCGTAACAGTCCCTAGTGGTCATCGCTCCCATCCGGCCTGGCCAGGATCACTGTGTGTTTGGCCTGGGCTGTGGGGTCATGGCCTGGCACCTGTGGAAACCAGCCCTTTGTCCTAAAGCCAGAGCATGGACAGGTGCCCTGCCGCCCGAGGGTCCCAGGCTAGGGGCCCCCACTTTGGAGACAGTTGCCTGAAGTCTGGGTCCTCAGTGTGGTCACAGAAATTATGTACACCGCAGATTATTTATTCTAAGCTGACGTGGAGCTGCTTGTGGAAGGAGACATCCAGGTCCCCACTGTGATGGCTGCACCGCAAAGTCTGAGCCCGGCCAGTGGGGAAGGGTGGTTGTGGGGGTTGGGGGAGTGGAAGGGTGAAGGAGTAGGCCCTGGCTGGAGTGGGGTGGTCCAGGAGGAAGCAGGTACAGCCATCACTGCAGGCACCGGGCACCAGCATGTGATCTCTCTGCTGGTTTTGCATGACCCTGAGCAGAGGTGCAGCTGCTGGCCCGAGGTCCGGCTGAGCCACCCTCCAAGGACACCCAAGGGGTGTCCTGGCTGGGCTGGCTTGGAAGGGCTCACCCGCTTTTGGAAGGTCCTTTGACACTGAGCCTTCTTGAAGTGGGTCAGGGTGAGAGCAGTACGCTCTTGTGGGCAGGGGACCACATGAACTATTCCGTTACCGTCGGGTATTTTTATATATCTGTGTTCTGAGCTCTGCTTGTGAGCTCTGCTTGTGGAACTGAACTGTTGAGACTGGAATTAAAGGCCATTTTGCAGCCCTGCTTATTCTTTTCTGGGACCCGCCTGCAGCCCACCATGTGCAGGCAGTCAGGCAGCCACACTGTCCCCAGCAACTGCTTCTGGAGGCCTGTACCCCACTGGGGAGGGGTTTCCCACACCAGGCCAAGTAGAGCAGGTGTCTGTAGATGCGCTGTGCTGTGCTGAGCAAAGGTGCTGGGGGTTTCCGCCCCCCACCCCCTTGTTACCTGGCGCCTCAGCTCTCACTGTGTCTTCTGCTCTGTGGATCCTGAACATGTCTGTCTTCAAGCTTTGTCCTGCATCCACCAGGGCAGGCGGTGGTGGGTGGGACCTGCTGAAGCCCCCAGGTGGCATTGGGCAGCGGTGAGGAAGCTGGAGCCAGCTGACCCAACTGGCTCATCAGGTGAAGGATGTTCAGAAGTGCCTGCCAGGTGGCCCCAGCTCCCCATGGAAGTCAGCACACTGACTGCTTCTGAAGCATCAAGAAGACACCCAGCACAGCACCCAGCACAGGAGTGCAGGCAGGGGCCCCCACCAGCTGGCCTGTGGCCTCCTGCATCCCTGTCCTCCAAAGCCCCAGATACCCTGCGCCCCCTCACCTGCAGTCCCCCCTCAGCCACCCTGGGCTTCAGCCAGCTAGAGACAGCTGCCTGTGCCTCTGCACAGCCACCTCGCTGCCCCCGGGTCTGGTCATCTCCCACCTGGTCACACTCCCGGTCTGCCCTCCCTGACCCTCCTTCCACCCAGACCCCAGACCCCAGACCTCATAGGTATGCTCTTCCTACATTTGCTTCACCTGTCGCTCCAGCCCGGATGGAGTGAGGGGTGATCAGACCCCCGATGGAAGGAGCAGCACATTTCAACAAAACTGCTTTCTGGAGGGGAGTTCCCTGCGTTCACTTGGGCACCTCTTCAAGCCCATCATCATTTATTCGGGAAATTGATTAAAACGAGGAATGCCGGGCACAGATATGCGTGCTGAGAATCTCAAATCGGCTATGCATGTCTGGGCAGTGTGGTCAGGGCCTCTCACCCCTGAGGCAGGGCTTCTCCCTCCTGGCTTTCCTGTCAGGGCACCCCCTCCCCCAGCACCTGTTTGCCCTCCTCCTCCGCCCTGCAGCTTCCCTCCACCTCTGGCCCCTCTGCCTTCCTCCCTGCTCCTCCTCTAGCCCTGCTCCCCCTCTTCCTCCCTCCTCCCTCCCTGCCTGCCCTCTGTTTACTCCCTGCACCATCTGACCTGCTTCTGGTGGGTTGCCCTTTTGAAGGTTCTCCCTAGACGCCCCAGGCTCCTGAAGCAGGCTCTTCCCTCCCCATCCAGCGCTTGAGTTATCCAGCCCTGCATCGACAGTGAAACCGGCCCCGCCTGCTGGCTAGAAACTACATTCTCCTGTGCCCCACTCTGTGGTCTCTGGAGGTCTCCGGCTGGGGCAGCACCATCTGAAAGCTTGGGTGGGGCTAGGGTCTCGGCTCCCAGGACTAGGACGTGGGGAGAAAACAGGAGCCTGAAAAAGCTGTGACATGATCATGTTGGCGATGTATCCACATTGGTTCCTGAATCGTGAACGTGAGTGTAAGATGTTAGCAATATGGGACACTAGGTGTTGAGTATAGCAAGCTCCGTACTATGTTCACAACTTTTCTCTGAATCAACTATTTATGGCTGTGCTGGGTCTCCTTTGCTGTGTGTGCTTTTCTCTAGTTTCGGGAGCAGGGACCACTCTCTAACTGCAATGTGTGGTCTTATCACTGCAGGGACTTCTCTTGCTGCTGAACGCAGGCTCTAGGGCCCCCTGGGTCAGTAGTTGTGGCTCTCGGGTGCTAGAACACAGGCTCAATAGCTGTAGCACAAGGGCTTAGTTGCTCCAGGGCATGCAGGATCTTCCTGGACCAGGGATTGAACCTGTAACACCTGCATTGGCAGGTGGATTCTTTACCAATGAGCGACCAGAGAAGCCTCCCCGCCCCCGCCACCTTAAAATTTTATTTATTTTTTGGCTGTGTTGGGCCTTCATTTTTTAAATTAATTAACTTAATTGGTTAATTAAATTAAAAATTAAATTAAAAAAACAAAAATCCAGCTCCACAGCCTGGCCAGTCGTGGGAACGGAGGACTTGTAGGGTTCCCCTCGGCCCCACCTACTCTTTACTCCTGCATTTGCTGGAGATGGATGGTGAGGGTGGCCAGAGGCCATTTTCCCCTGCCCGGACCTCGATCGCCAGGCTCCGCGACACCCCTGCGCTGTTCCACGCCCGTCAGGAGGAGTTCTGCTGCTCACCTGAGTTCCCCCGTTTGAGCGTCAATTTCCCTATAAATAAAATGGGTAGAACAGGTGCCCCACAGGATTGTCAAAATTAAACCACATAGGAGGGGCTTCCCTGTCAGTCCAGAGGTAGATAGAGTCTGCCTGCCAATGCAGGAGTCACGGGTTGGATCCCTGATCAGGAAGATCCCACATGCGTCGGAGCAGCTAAGCCCCTGCGACACAACTACTGTCCCGGTCTGCGAAAACAGAAAAGCTTGTGCAGCAGCAGACTCAATGAAGCCAAATATACTTAACTTTAAAAACACACACACACATCGGAGACAAAGGTGTTTTTGCAAACTCCCTTTTGCCGCTCTTGGTGTTCAGCAGTGTTTCTTTTACAATTAGCATTCGTTCTAATCCTACCACTTAAAATACATTGGAAATCGAGGTAGGAGGGGGCTGTGCTTTGGGGCTGGAATCACAGTTTTGGGGATTGGCGGGATGGGGCAGGGCGAATTTGAGGCCTTTTTCCATTCAAGCCCTCCCGCGTTGGCATAAGCCAATGTCAACATCCACACATTCTTGGTAAACGAGCTAGGAGCAGCTGGATCAGCTCTGAGTCAGAAAAGGCTGATGCTAGCAGCGCCAAAACTTTTGCCGAAACCCGGGATCGAACCAGGGACCTTTAGATCTTCAGTCTAACGCTCTCCCAACTGAGCTATTTCGGCTGGATGGCAAGGGTTGCTCTCATCTCCCGACTCCGCCCCGCTCTGTACGGCTCGCGCGTAGACGTAGCTCGGGCCGCCCCTGCGGGCCGCGCATGCCTCGTAGGGTCGCGCCTGCAACTCAGCCGCAACGCTGTCTCTGTGGCGCAATCGGTTAGCGCGTTCGGCTGTTAACCGAAAGGTTGGTGGTTCGAGCCCACCCAGGGACGAGGGTTGTACTTTTTGCTTCCCCGGGTAAGAAGAGAGTGGGATACCCTCTTCCTTTTGCCAAGACTGTCCACGCGCACCTCTGTGTTCTATTTCCGCGTGGGGTGTCCGCAATCGCGCGGCGGTGGGGCGTCCACAGAGGCGGAACGTCCCAGCCCGAGTTCCGGTTTTTCCGCACCAGCCGAGCCGCTTTGGGCGACGGCCCGGGGCATCCGGAGCGCTACAGAGGACGGACCGTAGAGGTTGTCTGAAGGCCGAGGCCAAGATGGCGGCTCTAGCGGGTGAGCAGGTTGGGGCGGCGGGGTCGGGGCTTGGGTCGCTCTGGGAGACTACCCCCAGCCGCTCGGGCAAGCGGAGGCCGAGTGTGATGCAGGCTGCCATTTTTGGGAGGAATTCCAGGCTGGGGCAGAAGGGGCCCACATTTGGTCCAGGATGCTGCCCCTGAAATTCCCGGGAAGAGGCAGCGCCGGTGGGTACAGCCCTGACAGGGAGAAAAGTGAGGCCCAGAGAGAGGCTGGGACCCCTGGAGGTCACGCGCCCTGGCAGGGCCGGAACGCGACTCAGGGCAGCCTGACACCCTGGGAAGGGGTCGGTCACCGGCTGAGCAGGCGTCCTAACCCTGGCTGCTCCAGGGCCCTTTCCTCCTTCGATTAGCGATTAAGCACATAGGATGGATTCCCAGGATTGTAAAGGGAAGTGGGTATCCCGACAGCTGTCAAGATACTGTCTGGGAACCAGGAATCTGTTCGCAGTCCGGGTGCTTCATTAGTCATGCCTGGAAGGCCAGGGTCTAGTGGCGGTTCTGCCAACTGCTGTGTCCTTGAAGGAATGGAGTGGGCACGTTCCTTTACACATGGTTGGCAGCAGTCCCTGTGGCGTAGTTAAGAAATCATTGTCATTTCTGTTGGTGAAATGCCTGCGTTATGCTACTAATGCTGTAGTTTTGGCTATACTCAGATTTTAAGGAAAGGCCAAATTTTTAATAAGACGCGGGTGACCATAAAATGGGTATTCTTCCTTCCCGTGCAAGTTCACCGGCCTTCTGAATCCTTACCAGCAGCCTCTTGCTAAGTCTGGACCAGAGGTTGGAATTCCCTCACCTTGGAGGTGAAAGGCATTTACCGTGCTGTGAATTTACCTAAAGCCCTAAGGTCAGGTTGCGGGGCTGAGGCTGAGAGAGAGGCAGCTCACACAGGAGTCAGGAGTTGCCCAGCCTCTGGGACTCCGGAACTCCCAGCCCAGGGCCTGGAGCCTTGCTAAAGTCTGTGGATATGTTGACTTGACACACACCTGTCTGTCTGAGTCAAGGCCATGACAGACACTAAGGGAAGCCAGGGAGGCCCTCGCATCTGGGGCAGGCAGGCACCACACAAGAACATGCGGATGTGGCAGGATCAGGAGGACCTAGGAAGCTAATGTAGACCCAGGCAGTTGAGCTGAAACCTGTTCCACAAGAAGGGCCGGGTGCTCCAGGCAGAGAGCATGGCAAGTGCAAGGCCCTGAGGCAGGTGGGACACTGATGTGCCTGAGGAAAGGAGCACTGGCCTCCAGTGTGGACTGTGTCATTGGAAACAGGGGAATGACACTGGATACTGTCTGGTGTCTGCTTCATATTCTGAAAGATGGCTTTTTTTTTTTGGCTATACCTCACAGCTTGCAGAATC